GGAATTTTGAATGTAAAAAGAATAAAAAAATAACTTTAAAAATGTCATTTTACGGAATGTAGAATATAAAACAAGAATTTGAATGTTGAATGTGGAATCGGAATGTTGAATATGAAATATGAAAACGGAATGTGAAATAGGAATTTTGAATGTAGAATCGGAAAGTGGAATACGAATGTTGAGTGTTAAATCGGAATGTGAAATATGAAGTGGGAATGTGGATTTGTTGCTAATGTGAAATCGGAATGTTAAATGTGAAATTTGAAAAGTAAAATCTAATAGTGTATTAAGAATGTTGAATGTTGAATCATATAATGTAAAATGTGGAATCGGAAATGTGAAATCAGAATGTCAAATATGAAAACGGAATATGGAATATGAAATCAGAATGTGGAATATTCGCGTTATATACGCACGTGTAAAAAATTAAAATTGATTAAAATATAGTAAAATAAAAGTAGGTTCCAGTATATATTTCAAAAAAATGTTAAAATAAATTTGTAATATTATATGTATATAAAGAATTAAATTCTTATTTTCTATTAACAATTCCGAGCCTGAAGTACATATATTTTTATACCATTTACAAAATTTAAAATAACCTTTTTGGCATTTAAAAAAATCATCAACTAACACTATTCAAAATGGTGAATCCAATATATGACGGATTTTTTTCATAATTTTTCAGATTTTCTTGAAAGCGACTCAGAGGTTTTTGAAGTAACTGATTACAAATTAGAATTCAAAATGGCGAATCCAATATGTCGGACTTTTCTTCAAAATTATTCCGTTTTCCGGAAACTCGTCACTCGGAGGTTTTTTGGTTCATAACACTAATTATTACGAATATGATATCAGATTTTTAAAATTCAAAGTTACGGTTCCAAAACTGACACAAAAAACCCCTGAGTGGTAAATTTCAAGAAAATCTAAGTAATTTTGGAAAAAAATCGTTCATATTGGATCCGTTATTTTGAATTTTGTAAATCTGAGTTCAGATTTTAAGCAACCTATTTTAAGAAATAATATTTGTAATTCTTAAAATTCCTGAACTTAGCTTTTTTCATCAATTTTTATTTTAAAAAATTTTAAACTTTCTCATTTCCAAATAGTTTTCCAACGTTAAAAATTAATTTAAAACCATGGTTTATATTGTTATTAACAAATAATTAATTAATTAATTAATTAAGTTAATTAATTATTATAATTAAGTTATGAAAACAAATTATTAATTAAGACATCAGTGAGTTAGACGGATATATGAATGAAACGTATTACTCCAGGGTTCATCGGGTCATTGAACCCAAATACAATATTAGTTTTTTAAAATTCAAAATAGTGGATTCAATATGGCAGACGAATTTTTTATGAATATAAATATGTTTGTTTAAAATTTCTGCTATAATTGAATCGTGAATCTCGAAAAGGGTTCAACTTAATAACGTGTATGTTTTTTTACATAATAATTAATAGTGAAAATGATTTGTTTTTAAAAGAGTGCGTTTTTAAAAAGAAAACACTGATTCACATATATTACTGACGTCATAAGAACTAAAAATACCACTTTCGTAATGACAGTTTTAATATTTGCACTAAAAGCAGTCTAAAAGCAGTCTAAAAGCAGTCTAAAAGCAGGCTAAAAGTCATAAATGATTTTAAATTTGAACACTAATAAAGAATTTATAGATATTAAATCTCAACAGTTTCCTAAGTTAATAAACCACAATCTTGAGTTTACACCTTTTCTGCAGCTAATCGTCCAACATAAACGATCTACTAGCAGCTGGTCAAGCGAGAAGACAACCCGTGGCGAATGACATTATATTCAACCATAGCAAAAGCAATCATTCTTTTCGCTGTGAATTTCGGTGTGGACACCATAGGAAAGGTCCCCCTTAATCTATGAGTACCTTTGGGGGCACGAATCATCACAAAGACACGGCCCTTCCTTTTGAATCAAACATCGATGTATCACGACATACCGTATAATTTAACATCGCTTAGAATACGGGTACTCGAGACGATTATTTCTATAAGTACATAAATGTACTTCAGTTACAAAAAAGCTCTCCTTTAATGTGTCACTAAGTACTATTGTGGTACTTCAAATTTCTAAATTTTTCCCTCTTATAGAAAATGTAAGAGATGCAAGGATGAGAAAATTTGTATATATGCCTAAGTTGTAAACTGTAAACAAACCCTGTATACTTAAATGGCAAATTTTCTGCGGTCTGTCCCATTTCCATAGAAATCATTTTTACGTTTTCGTTAGAACATGGTTAATTAAAGAATTTAAGTAGGTAACTAAACCTCATTTATATAAAATAATAACTAAAAATATGAAAAATCAGACATTACCCAAACCATTTTGAACCACGGTCAAAGTATGAAAAAAGTATGAAAATATATACATATGAGGAGAAGAAAAAAGGATTTTATTTAAAGTTCATTGTCAAAATTTTAACTGTGCGAAAAGTATGGCAAACCATATGGGAATAAGAATAACTATCTCTTGTACATTTTTAAACTATATAAGCAAAGTATCGTGAACCATGGGAAGAAAAACCTATTTCTGTTATATTTTTAAACCATCGGAAAAGTATGGCGAACCTTTTGGGAACAAAAAAACTGTTTTTTAATATTTTCAAACTGTTTTTTTAGAATTCCCACTACTTTAAATTCGCTATAATACTAAAAATCAAAAAACTATTCTCAAAAATTAATCAAATTTTTTAAAACGATTCAATTATTATTTACAAAAGAATTCGAAATTCAATTACTTTTAATATCTAGTACTTTCATAAAATTTCGCAAAAGAATTCAATTATTTAAAAAAAATTGATAAAACTCATCCAGAATTCAATTATTTCCATAAATAATAAAATTTCTACAAGAATTCAATTAATTTAGAATAGCATTATCAAAAAAATTTCGAAAAAATCAATTATTTAACGAAATTTTTATACAATTCTTCACATTAATTCAAATACTTTCACTAATAATAACATTTTGCATGCAAATTCAATTTAAAAAAAAAATTTTTTGTAAAATTCTAAACAAGAATTCAATTATTTTCATAAATAATAAGACTCATTGAAGAATTTCAATTATTTTTAATACTATTTAAAATTAATTAATCCAAAACTCAATTACTTTCACAAATAAAGTTTTCCACAAGAATTCAATTATTTAAAAAAAAAAATTTTTCATAATATTAATTATATTTCGAAAAAATTAATTATTTAAAACAATGTTTATAAAATTCTTATGAAGAATTTATTTTGTTTCGAAAATAACAAAATTTTTCAAATAAATTTAATTCTTTTTAAATATTTTTAAAAAAATTTTCGCAATAATTCAATTATTTTTGAAAATTTTAATAAAATAGTTCGAAAGAAATCAATTGCTTTAAATACAATTTTAATTAAATTCTTTTGAAATAATTAAATTATTCTTTTACATTTTAATGAAATTCTTCCTAAGAATTCATATTTCTTCAAAAGAATCCAATTCTGACGATAAATAACAAAAATGTTCCCGAAAATTCAATTATTTTGAGGCATTTAAATAAAATTCCTTGCAAAATTCAATTATTTTCATAAATAACAATATTTATCACAAGAATTCAATTATTTTTAAAAGTAATAAATATTTTCATGTAATTTTAATTTTTTAAAGAAACTTTTAAAAAAATTCTAATCAAGAATTCAATTTTTTAAAAAAATTTTAATAAAATTTTTCGCAATAATTCAATTATGTTCATAAATAATAAAATTCTACTCAAGAAATCAATTATTTTTGAAAATTTTAATAAAATTCTTAGTAACTTTTCAATTATTTTTATAAATAATAAAATTCATCGCTGGATTTCAATTAATTTTAATACAATTTTATACGAATTGTTCAAAAAATGTAATTATTTTTTTAAAATTTAGTTTCAATACCTCGAAAAAAAATTATAAAAAATGTGTTTTTATAATTCTTTGGAAGAAATCAATTATTTACAGAAAGATTAGAATTTTTCAATTATTTTAAATACAATTTTAATTACATTTTTTAAAATAATTCAATTATTCTTTTAAAATTTAATATAATTCTTCTCAAAAATCCAATTATGTCGATAAATAACAAAATTATTCCCGAAAATCCAATTATTTTGAGGCATTTTAATAAAATTCTTTGCAAAATTCAATTATTTTTATAAATTACAACATTCATCACAAGAATTTAATTGTTTTTAAAAGTAATAAATTTTTTCTTGGAAATTCAATTATTTAAAAAAATTCTAATAAAATCGTTCCCAACAATTCAATTATTTTTATAAATAATAAAATGCTTTTTAGGAATTTAATTATTTTCAAAAAAAAATTTAATAAAATGCCACACAGTCATTCAATTATTGTCTAAAACTTTAATAGAATTCTTTGCAAAATTTAATTATTTTTAAAAACTTTTCGCAATTTAATGATTTTTAATATCTACTATTTTCATAAAATTTCCAAACAGAATTCAATACTATTTAAAAAATTTTTTGTAATAATCTTCGTAAGAAATCAATTCTATTCATGAATAATAAAAATTTCTCAGTAATACAATTATTTAAATTAGAATTTGCATAAAATTAGTCGAAAGAAATCAATATTATTTAAAAATTTTTATAAAATTATTCTCAAGAATTAAATTATTTTTATAATAATTTAAATTCTTTCATGAATAAAAAATTCTTTGCAGGAATTCAATTTATTCGCAGGATAAGAAAAAACTAAATATTTTTAATGAAAATTAGGAAAACAATTGATAAAATGAAATTTTTTGTCAGTTTTGTTAAGTGTCTAAAACGAGTTTTTTTTATGGTCGTCAAGTTTAATTTTTCGATAGCTACTTTTTTACTACTTTTTTTTAGTTTGAACGCTACTTTTTTCTACTTTTTTAAAATTAATTTTCGAGTGCAAAGTCTAAGTTCTGTAAAATGTGATATAATACAGTATACAAATTTCCCATGCTGTTACTGCTGTATATTCAATTTCATGAATATAATCTCCAATGATGTTTCAACCTCCTTGAAAATTTTCATACATATGTTATTGTTATATAATTGTTTCGCAATTTTGTTCTGAAAAATGTTTGTATAGAATTGAACAGAAGAATGTTATATAGTGCGTTATGTATATATTTTGTGACAAGGATTAATGGAAAATTTCTACAGAACTGTTTCTAATGATAGTGGCACATATAATTTGAAATTGAATGTCACACAATTTATTAACAACTGACTAATACTGTTATGATACACTTCTTTATTCAGATAATAACAGGTGTCAAAATCTGTTGTCATTCTTTTATTATTATAGAATAGTTACAGATGAAACAAATTTTTATACATTATGTATATGCACCAAATTATATTTATAGCTGAACGATTTTCTAAATTTGAAACACTATAATTTTATGAAACGCATTTTATTAAATAAATCTGTTTTGTTGTAATAAATAAAAAAAGATATGAATCTTTTTCCAAACTGAACAAACTGCAACAAAAGGATGCAACAAGGATCAATGGATTATTGATAAATTAACTATCTGGAAGCTTTTTTGAAATCATGTATGTAGCAAAATAATTACTATTTCTGAAAATATTTTAACCACACATTCTTAAAAAACATAAAAATAATATTCCTTAAGGAATTATCCAAAAAAATTATATTTAAATAATCCTGAAAATGTCTTAAAGAATATATTGAACCATTTGCTCAGGCTATTTATTTTCTTTAAGATTTGCAGATTTTTCAGTAATTATTCCTGGTGTTGCAAAACCCCAAATCTGAATCCAAAGTATGTTCAGAGTAATCCGAAACCTGTTTGTAATAAATCCGCATTTAGTCCGGTTTCTCTACTTTCGTCGTAGTTCGAGCTCCCGTCGCGATGACCGTCGCATCTCTGCTATTATTTGATTTCTGTTATTAATCTGTTATTTTATTATTAATTAAATAATTTTTACTTTCGATTTCAAATTTTTTTACAGTGAACACAGAGCGGCCCAATGCGCTACTACAAAATTTCCATTTTGCAATTATTTCTAACTTTAAATATTTATTTTACACATGATTTCCTCGGTATTTGAACTACATTTTCTGATATCGTGAAATGAGTTTTTTATTTTATTTACGCGCAAGTTTCTTAAGATTAAAAATGGAAATTTATGTTATGCTTACATAATAAAAATATCAGATATTTTTGCCTCGAACTAATTTTTGCTATTAAATTGTCTATATGCTTTCGTTTCTATATAAATTTTTCCCTCATTTGTTGTTTTTCACGTATTTATACATAAAAATATGTCCAATTTTTAAAAAAAATTTCCTCCATATTGGACCCGCCATTTTGAATTTTAAAAAACAGTAGTCAGATTCGAAATCAGTGACCCAAAAATCCCTAGATATCAAGCATCATAAAAATCAACCCATTATTTAAAAATACCTCCGCCATATTGGAATCGCCATTTTGAATTTTGTGAAACGAATGACAGAATTTTAGTTAGTGATCTCACAAAAACCCGTGAGCCTAATTAAATTAGATTCAAACTCCTGTCTTCTTTTGCAATCAATATTTTTTACAATTGTACGTTTAGCAATTTCTTATTCATTTTTTTATTTTCTTTAAAGTAAACTTCCATATAATGCAACTGGTGAATAAGCTGACCATTATTGCCCTAGGGTAATAATGAGTACTTTATTTGCCAGTGAGCAAGAACAATAAAATGCCCATTATTGCCCTAGGGTAATAATGGGTACTTTATTGCCAGGGGCAATAATGGGCACTTTATTGACCGCTGGGTTATATGAGCGGGAAATAAATAAGCCAGTTACATAAAACTATTAAAATTATATTCAATAAATATTTTTTCCTTGATTAAGAAAACATTTATGAAACATAATTAAAAAAATAAAGAAAAAATGAAAAATAAAAAGAGGATAACAAGCAGAAAAGTGTTATTCTCAAACTTTACACATTCAAGCGTATTAACGCTTGAATGTATAAAGTTTGAGAATTAATTTATTTAACGACAATTTCCAATGTCAGAAAAATCTAACTGTTGTATTTTTAAATTAATTTTTAAAAATTGAATAATTTTCTGTTATAGACAGAAGTTGAAGATAGTAATCATGAGGCTTCGTGCGAGAGTGCAGTGCAAAATCCGTCTCCTAGAACCGTCAGTGGAGTTGGAACAGAAATATCTTCAGGAATAATGGAGTGCGGAGGATGTGGAGAACGAGTACGAGAGCGAACAGTATTATGCGTTGGCGGACGAACATGGCACTCAAGGTGCTTAAGGTGCTCGGCCTGTGCCAGACCTTTACACGACCAACATTCCTGTTACCTTCGTGGCATGCGCCTTTACTGTAGACACGATTACACTTTGTAAGTATTGTTTACAATTTCTGTGATAAAATAAAAATTTTTCACAATGAATCATAAACACTTATATTTAAAGTCGTGTTGCGCCATTCAAGCGAGAAATCGATCTAAAAAGATTGGAAAAATACGAGAATTTCGTCAAAAAAAAACATGGTAAACAAATGAATATCTAAGTTCTGTCTTTTTTCTTTTATGAAAGGAGAGATTCTCTAATGCAACACTAATTTAAAGCAAAATTGTTATTGTTTATTTCTAACCCTCGCAACAAAGGGATAACCTACAGATATCCTCAAGATATTCTAAACAAGTGTAGGATATCCTATAAATGTTCCCAGGATTTCCAAACCGCCGTTTTGTATAGAATCTTTAAGGTGGTCATTTTTAGGAGCTGAAACCCTTATAGCGATACTCCGTCTGAATTTTCTAACGGCCCCCATGTTGCGTCATAGCAACTGTTGATATGGTAATGGTTACGATAGCAACTGTTTCCATAGCAACCGTTGCTATGACAATGGTTACCGTAGCAACTGTTTTCATAGCAACCGTTACTATGAAAATGGTCACGATAGCAACAGTTGTTATGACATAATAGTAACCGATACTATGGGAATAGTTACCATAGCTGCTGTTTCCATAGCAACCGTTGATATAGTAATGGTTACCATAGCAACTTACACACCATAACCGTTGCTAAGGCAACAGTAGCAATCACTCCCATAGCAAAACTTTTTTCATGGCAAACGCTGCAATAGAAATAGTAACTATCGCAACCGTTGTGATGAAAATGATTACCATAGTAACTGTTTATATTCCAACCCTAAAAGAATCCGGATATTCAGAATATCCTATGGACTTACTGGGCATAACTAGTGTTCCGGGAAAATTAGGATATTAGAAATTAGGATCCTAGGATATCCCAAAGATGTGCATGGTTATCTTTGGAACAACCTAGAAATATTCTAATTTCTCTAAACCAATGGTTATCCCTAGAACATCTGAAAGATGGTCAGGATATCCTGAATATCCGTATGTTGTTAGGGAGCGGTTGCTATGGTAATAGTAACCATAAATTATTATAACTTAATAATCTAAAATTATAGTTTTCATGGAAATATTCCTTGAAAATTATTGAAATTTTATCCAGTGTTAATTAATTAATTAATTTTTTTATGCCACGAAACTTTGCACCTGCTCTCTTAAGGTGAGCAGAAAGCGTAAAACTAAAAGCAGAATTTCATGAGTGCAAGAGAGATAGTCAGATATTTTCAACCTTTTCACTTTTATGAAATCCTGCTTACGGTTTATGCTTTCTGCTCACATGGGACTGCACCCTTACTGATTTTTAACATTCTGGAACTTTCCGCTAATGTCACGCCAGTTTTCCGGAAAGTTAGTGACTTTCTAATTGTTTAAAAAACAAGTTTAAAGTTTATATATTATTAAATATAAAAAAATATAAAATATAAAAAAAACATGAAAGTATGTTTAGATACTGAACAATAAATTTATTTCGACACAGTTTTAGATGGAATCCTTTTCTCACATTTTTTGACATATCTACATAGATTCTAGTAGTGGATATTGTATAACTGAAACCTAAAAAGGATTGGTCCTTTTGTTACTGTAGAATTCAGAAGCAATGAGTGAAAAATCTATAGAATATTCAAGAAGAATATCTTAAAGGACTCAAGTTAGACATTGATATGGTTGCTCTCTTTTATCCTGCATCAAACAAAAAAATTGTCTGTTAAAAGAGTTGCATCTTAACCCTTAACGTCCAAATGTACAAAATGTTGTAATGACTGACTGTGGGAAAAGTTAAAAACTAACTTACCCTAACGTTATTTCGAAAGAGCACCTATAAAAAATATAAAATGGTAATTGCACAATTTTTCTCCTTGTTTCTATGTCGCCAAATAAGGCTTCAAATTTTATGACAACATTTCGTACATCTGGGCGTTAAAGTGTTAAAATTATTTAAATTAACTTTAATCATTGCTTTGTAATTTTATAAGTTACTTTATGTTTTTTATTATTTTATCCCTCAGCGAAACATTCTCACAAACTGGTCCATCCTGTTTTGCTGTATCATTAACTAATTACTAAGCCCTATATATTGTATGTGTACTGCTTTTTAGGTTGTACAGTCTATTAAGTGCAGACGATGGTCCTAAGTTGAGCGCCTAATGAGGACTAATTTAAACAAGTAATTTTATAATAAATTGATTCATTAAATAAAAATTAAAGCAAAAATGAAACTTATTTAAATAAGAAATATGTTGGTTCCCTATACACTGATTGCATTATTTAGTTAACTTTGTCTTTGTCTCTAACGACGCAAAACCATCTAGGCAGAACACGATCCTCAAAGGTCAATGCAGAAACGATTAGAAAATCTCGTTCACGAATGTGGTTGAGATAAAACCAGCTTAAATGTCCTATCAAAAATGCCATTTTTCTTAAATGGTGGTTAATTAATTTTCCATTGTTGGGGGGTTATAAATAAACATGTTTTGTACACTTAATGGTTGTTTTTACCCTTAACTTGGTAAATAAATTGATCTAAAAAACCTAAAATCTAAAAAAGATGATATCCCAATTTTAAAGCAAGTGAGCAATTCTTTCTTTAAAACTAACTAAAAACAGCTATGTTCTCTAATAGGAAAATTATACCCTGACAACATCCGGATTATTCACAAAATATCTTTCAGATGTCCTAGAGATCACTATTGGTCTGGGGAATTAGGTTATTCCTGGGATATTCCATGGAATGTGTGAATCAATTCATAGAATTCGTGGACATACGTCCGCAGACACCCTATACCAATATCTTAGGGGTAACCTAATTTCCGGGTATGCCTTGGATGACCATAAGATATCCTGACATATTTGTTGGTATGGAGAATTAACAGTTAATTAAAAAATCTAAAGATTTTTGTAACTAATCAAATTAAAGTACCAATGTTTTATTTTCAAAATAAAAAACAAAGCTAAATCTCGGTGAGTCATCGCGTATTCGTTTTCTTAAAAATTGTTATCCTTCAATTTAAAAATCCGTTAACAAATTTTTTTTAATTATATAGACTTCATGAGGTATAATCATTGATATAAAGACAATTTCCAAGTGGATTTCATTGTTAAAAGATATTTAAATTATCGTGTAACTTTGCGACGAAGACAGTGAGATCTACGGCTATATATAAACGGTAGCCGTGTACTGGCAGTGGAGTACAAGACACACGCATGCTTCATGAGATGAATGGTTTGCGGTTTTATACAGTGAAAGCATAGTATGAAACTGAGAATGGTGGAACGAGCAGACAGAGGCTCTCAGTAATTAAACAGAGAACAGCGACCATTAGCCTATTATCATATTCATGAACATGGAAAGTGCATCCGATTCAGAATCTTAGGGTCCAGCTTGCATCGTCGCGTTGGACCCAATGTCTCTCACTTCAGACCCCGTAGAATATATTACAAACACATAGGACGTTGTTGGCCACGCGACTATCACGGTGGGCCAGAGTATAGTCCACCTATAAAAGCGTAATATCAATGCAGAAATTTTTTTTTCTTTTTATTATATATTTTTTATTGCACTTCTAGATACACATGCGAGAAATAAGAAGAAGAATCTTTAATTATCTTGAAAACCTTTAAGCAGGCGATATCTCTTTCATCCATAATATATTAATGCAAAATTTAAGAACATTCAGTGGTTTAATTTCTAAATAGATAACTGTATCTAAATATAAATTATTTTATAAATCATATTAAAGCATTTTCATCAGTATTTATATATACTACGATATAAGTATATATTTATTTAGAAATTACATGTTTCTACTAGTAAGCTCTCTGAAGAACAATAAATAGTGAAAGGGACCTATATCGAGAAAAAAATTGTAGTTTATGTCTAGTGATAGTTTCAGCTTGATTAAATCTTTATTTTTAATCATGCAAAATCAAAATAAGTTTTTATAGAATATCTTCTATTTAATGAGGACTTAAGCACATAGCCGTTAATATTGAAAGTTGATCATCTTTATGTATTTTCACTTAAAAAATTACAAACATAACTTACAATTGAATTTAAAATGCTAGGATAGCGGATCGATTCACGACATTCGTTACAAGATTACATAATCGAAATTCTTCTACACCGTGTGGGAAAATTTTTTAATTTTGTTTTATTGAAAAAAATATAATTATGTAAATAAATTAAAAGTGACTAAATTTGGAAGAAATGACGCATAGGAAAAATAACAAAACCTAAAATAGGTTTAGAGAGGTAATCTTTATTAAAAATCCTTGTTATAATTAATTTTTGTCTTCTGTACCACAAGAACAAGTTTTGAATTTAAGTGACGCTCCGGGTTTGGTAGTGTCGTAATTTATTCCGGATTCCATATTCCGGAATCCACATGCCACATTCCGGATTTCACATTTCGAATTCCACAATTTCACATTAAACTTTGCGGATTCAAAATGCCATATTCCGGATTCTACATTCTAGATTCCACATTCCAGATTCAAATTTTCACATTTCAAATTCCACATTCCGGACTCCACATTCCACCTTGGGAATGGAATTACGGTTTACAAAGTTTCACATATTAAAACATCAATACCTTTCTAATATATGATCGTAAGTAGCGAGAGTATGTGGAATGTGGAATCCGAAATATGGGATATTGAATAAGGAATGTGGAATCCGTAATGTGACATGTGGAATCTAGAATGTGAAAAGTGTTATCCTGAATGTGGAATGTGAAAAGTGGAATCCGGAATGTAGAATGTGAAATGCGGAATATGGAATGTGAAATGCGAAATTAAGAATGTAGAATCCTGAATGTCAAATCCTGAATGTGGAATGTAGAGTATGAAAAGTGGAATCCGGAGTGTAGAATGTGGAATCCTGAATGTGGAATGTGAAAAGTGGAATCCGGAATGTAGAATGTGAAATCCGGAATATGGATTTTGGAATGTGGAATACGGAATATGAAGAGTGTAATCATGAATGTGGAATGTGAAACGTAGAATCCGGAATGTAGAATGTGAAATGCGGAATATGGAATGTGTAATCCTGAATGTGAAATCCGGAATGTGTAATCCGGAATGTAAAATGTAAAAAGTAAAATCCGAAATGTAGAATGTGAAATATGGAATGTGAAAAGAGAAATCCAGAATGTGGAATTAGGAATATGTTATCCGGAATGTAAAATGTGGAATTCGGAATTTGTAGTTTGAAATGCGTAATCCGGAATGTGAAAAGTGGAATTCGGAATGTAGAATCCGGAATATGAAGTATGGAATGTGGAATCTTGAATGTGGAATACGGAATGTAGAATGTCAAAAGTGGAATCCGCAATGCTAAATGTGAAATACGGAATGTAAAAAGTGAAATCCTGAATGCGTATTTCGGAATGTGAAAATGGAATTCGGAATGTAGAATCCGGAATATGAAGTTTGGAATGTGGAATACGGAATGTGAAGTGTAATCCTGAATGTAGAATGTTGAATGTGAAATGGGGAATGTGGAATGTGGAATCCTGAATGTAAAATCTGGAATGTGGAATGTGAAAAGTGGAATCCGAAATGTAGAATGTTAAATGCAAAATATGGAATGTGAAAAGTGGAATCCGGAATGTGAAATGTGGATTTCGGAATGTGATGTTTAAAATGTATAATCCGTAATGTAGAATGTGAAATGCGAAATATGTAATGTAAAAAGTGAATTCCTAAATGTGGAATCCGGAATGTGAAATGTGGATTTCGGAATGTGGAGCTTGAAATGTGTAATTCAGAATGTGAAAAGTGGAATTCCGAATGTGGAATCCGTAATGTGACATGTGGAATCTGGAATGTGAAAAGTGTTATCCTGAATGTGGAATGTGAAAAGTGGAATCCGGAATGTAGAATGTGAAATGCGAAATATGGAATGTGAAATGTGAACTCCTGAATGTGAAATGTGCAATCCGGAATGTGAAAAGTTTAATCCAGAATAAATTATGGAATCGACCATTTTCTGTAAAAATCATAACGGAAAACTGGAGTGGTTTAGCGTCCCAGACGTTATTTAACACCACATCAATCAAAATTAAAGTAATACTAGGCGCGCAGAAGGACTTGAATTTACTGTCAGATTTTTTGTCAACGATTCCGTGTTTAAAGTCAGAATTGTAAAGTTAAAACTGTCGGAACCAATATGGCTGCCGAATCTTTAAAACATCAACGAATTCGCTCAACCGAACAGCAGTCGGGTCAGCAGCACGCTTTTAGTACTACGTAACTCGCAGTACAAAAGCGCCCTACAGTTTGAGTAGTATTGGGTGAGACTTTTTCTCACGACGCGACGGCTGACGGGTTAAAATTTATTACTCAGGGGTTTTTGGGATCGCTGATTACGAATCTGATTTTAGTATCTCAAAAAATTCTCTCCTTAATTTTACATGACCTCAAAAATGATCAGGAAATGAATTTTTACACTTTTAGTTTTTAATATCTCAAAAGCTTGACGTATTCAAAATAGCAGGGGCTATTTTCAACCCCGATTCGAATTCAGCATGTCAAAAACCTTCCGATATGTATTATCCGGTTGTTGGTTCTGAAATTCGTGAAAATTTTGCCGGCTTATGTACATCTGGTATCTGATTAGTACTAATTTTGTAGTTATATAATTTCATGAAATGAACTAATTTGGACATTAAAATATAAATTAAAATATACAAAATTGACAGGAAAAGGGCTTCAGTTTTATTACAAATTACTTATAGAATGGATAATCTTATTGTTTTCGAAGAAATGCTAATGCAAGCATCTCTCTTGAATTCAAGATTTCCAGATTAAACCCACACAGCTTAAATCTATTTTCAAATGAAGATAACTGAATTTTGAATATAACTTTGATCTGCAGCAAATCTGCTTTACTGCATATTAGTATACTCTTTCAGAAATCTAGTCTGATTACGCTACATATATATGTGATGCTAACTTAAAACAGGAACACTCTTCATGCCACTCGCACTTTATTGATTATCAATTTTTTCGGCGAGCACAAAGGGATTCATTAGTATACTTGAGACACTAAATTGCACAATCGTGTTGAAAATACTCATCAAGCTATATACAACCAAAAGTTTTTCAAACAACTTGAGTATCCTTCTAAAATAAATCGTTTCCTCTTAAAAAATATTTCCTCTTGAATGTATATGAAAAAGGGATCTTCTTTTTTAGGTTGTTGCCTTATTATTTAATTTTAAAGTTTTAATCAGTTTATTCTCAAGGTATTGAAGATTAAAAATTGAAAATTGATACTTGTTAAAGTATTAAACAAAGTTAAAAAACTTAAACAGTAAAAAGCAGCTTCTCTTACTGTGATTTGTACATCGGAATCATTTTTGAATTCAATAAGATTTTCGTCATATTTATGTATTTCACTTCGAACGTATTTTTTATTTGGTGTGACATGTTCGTTTCCTAAAAAAATGCATAATTAGAAAAAGCAAGGGCGTTATATAAAATTAGTAAATCATGAGTGTTACTTACCAAGAGTATAATAGTCATTATCAATCTCTATAACAGCTGCTAAAACATTTCGTGGTGCTCCTCTTTCCCTGTCAATATCGGGAATTGCAATTCTGACCGTAGATCTGATTGCTAATGGCGTTAACCTTTGCGAAGAAAGCTTTAACATTTTTTTCTTGTCTTCCAAAATGTTTTCTTGCACTTGCTCTATATAAGAAATATGTTGCTCCTTTTTCAAAGTTGATAGCATTAAAATTTTTAATTTTAAAAGATTTATAAAGAATTTTAATATTAAAGAAATTTTAACGGATGTAACTTTTATTCACCGCATTAAATAAATTCAATTTTTTTATGCACCCACAGAACTTTTGGAGCCAAATGCGCTAAATGCGGAAGGAGTGTTGGTGCAGGCGATTGGGTGAGAAGAGCTAGAGAAAGGGTCTATCATTTGGCCTGCTTCGCATGTGATGCTTGCTCACGCCAATTATCTACTGGTGAGCAATTTGCCCTCCTCGACGCACGGCTACTCTGCAAAGTTCACTATCTTGATGTTGTCGAAGGGAATAATACTTCATCTGATGGTGAGAATCTTTTTTATATTGTGATTTGTAAATTATTTTATAATCTAAGCGAAACATTAGTACATTTATTTTCAAATGTTCATTCATTTCCAATCTGTGAAATGAATAACTGTAAAATTAAATTTTTTGGAGAAACATAATTAATAACTGTGAGCTACTGGAAAAATTTCAAATACTATTTCTCAGTAACGAATAAATTATTCAAGAAGTGAAAAAGCAGATTGAGCAAGCTTCACTTCGTGACTAGTTTCGAGAGTTAAATAATTAGCTAAGTTGTTAAATCATTTCTTCTACAATGGTCTAATTAATTGTCCTGAAACTTTTCCGATCTGAAGAAAGTTAATTAATGCTTAATAGTGATGCGAACTTCTAGTAGATAATTCCATAGGTAAAATTATGAAAAAATATCCAGTATGAAAAAAATACAATAAGTTTTGTAAAAATACTGTTTCAGTCCAAAATCTTAATATCCTGTACCCTGCATAACACTTAAATTTATGTACCTTAGGTTTGAAAGTCGAAAAGGCCTTGTTGATAATTCCTTTAAAAAATCTCACATAGGACATTGTTTGAAGGACGATAAATTATTAGAATATTATTTGTTCAAAACAAACTTGGGTGAATGTTCTATCCTCATCCTAACGGTTGTCATGAACAGCTTACAACTATTTTTTATTTTTGTTACTCCGAACGCATAACAATGATTTTTAATTCATTATGCTTATATAGTTTTTTGCAGTTCTTAATAATTTTGGCAACAATTTATGTGCACTTCGAAATACTTACCTGTCTTATCCAGATCTTTGACGAATTGCTTCATAAAATGCCAATGAAGAATCGTTATATTTTTCGAAATTTTTTTAAAATTCTATGCCAATCTATCGATAAGACGAAACATTAGTGCTAGTTTTGGAAGATGATTTTCTAAATAAGGCTAAATACTCTGAACTATTTTTAGATAATTTCTAATCTCGAGAAGGTTATTTAATTCTGGTTGTGAATTAAGTAACAACATTTTTGTATTTTCAGTTTATGGCAAAAATTTGTTTCGCTGTGGTCATCCTGCATTCATATGCATCGGGTTCTCTGCCTAAACTTCCATTTCTTCTGTCGCTATACCGCAATTTTAATGTTTGTATTAGCAAAGAGAAAAAACCCTGAGAAAAGTGTTTGAAGCAAATCTAATTAGATTCCTGGAATAATTTGTTCCTCATTTTGGTTCCACTGTTTTTAATTTTTGGAACCCGATAAATTAACAACTGTTTTTGTTCAGAATTAGTATTTTTACCTAAAAAGAATTAACAAAATTTAGGACATTTAAGCCTTAGAAAAAATCTTTGCACAGTAAAAATAAAGTGTTAGAACTTTAAACCGAGTTCAGACGGTCCGTTTCACATTATAGTAAATTAATATTATTCAAGAAATAAGACGTGTAATGTGATAATCAGTTACTGAAAACTTATTTCAATTTGTGTTTGATATTTTATTTATGTAACTAAGATACAATAATTTCTGCCCTAGAATGGAAAAACTGCGATGAATAGAAGCAAAGAAAAACTGTTTTTATTTATAAATTCTACTCAGAGGATCATGTGTTGTAAATTTCTTGAGGAACAGTATATAATACATATAATACAAAGGAAAAGGAGTAAAAGGCAGACTGTGAGGAGTGGTAAAGGTAAATCAGTTTAGCAAAGAACCCTACTGAAAATTTTCAAGCAACAACCTACATAAGATTCTTCTCGACCCCTTCATAAGTTTCCTTGTAAAAATGCATTAGGTATTCTTTTTTTTTTAAAAAAATTCGGATTTCAGTTATTCTAAGATACAGATTTTTATAGTGTTTATTATTCTGATGTATTCCAAGAATGAAGTGTTTCATAGTAGAAAAATCTATCCTGCAAAATATTTAAAAACATTCACAGAATCATTTGATTTTTTGTGTAAAAAATAGGCAGCCTTTCTAGGGTTATCAAAGCTTATTTTTGGCAAATACACGAAAGTGGAAAATGGTTTTTCCAGTTTTTCATCATATTCAGTCCTGACTTATTCACTCAGTTTGTTTAAGTTTAATGTTTGAAGACGGTTTTTATCGTTAATTACTGTCAAAAACTAAACTTTTGTCAGATTTGCTACAGTTTTTCATCAAAAAGAAAAATATTAAATTATTACATTAAAATAGTTAATAGGCTTAGAAACTTTATATTACATTAGAAAATTTAGGTGAATAACGAAATTGATGTGTTTTAATGATGACTAATTTGTGTGTCATCTATTCACAATTTCGTATATTTCTAGTTAAAGATTTCTACACCGACGTTTACCGACACTTTTTAGCCTAGACCCAAACCACTTAAAATTACCAATGACGCTTAGTAAACGGAGGGAGCCGAATTGTTTTTCTGATTCGGTTATCAAAATTCGTGAAATCTTCCCAGACATCTTCCTCTAAGTTACACTTTGCCCTTGTACTCTATGGTTTGTGTCTTGGCTAAGTGGTTTGCGACTGAGCTGAGAAGTGTCGATAAATGTCGGTACAGGAATCTCTAAGTAGAACCCTCATCAACTTTCATTTAAAAATTTACTTTAAACGCTCGCTCTACAAAAACTGCTTTTTACTACTTACGATTACTGTCTTAGCAAATCATAACAATATTATTTTTCGTATAAATATAATACATGATTTTTTAAGAAATTTTACGTGGACTTCTTTATGAAGATGTTATAAGTGAACCTGTGTAGATTACTAAATTAAAATTTTCAGTAGGGGAGTTGATATTGAAAATTGAATTTTTATAAAAATGTCACTTGCCGCAGATTTTCCGTTGTAGGGAAAATATTATATCCTAAAAATATAGTTTTCATGCACTTCACTTATTTCGATTGCAAATAGGTTTACAAGTGATGTTTCGCATTGTAACTATATCTTTCTAAAATAATAGATATATTTAAAAATTTTTAATCTTTGAATGTCTGTAGAAGGTGGAGATTTCGAAAATGGTAGTAAAGGTGGAAACAAGGCAAAAAGAGTGAGGACTACCTTCACTGAGGAGCAACTATCAGTGCTGCAAGCAAATTTTCAGCTTGATAGTAATCCTGATGGACAAGATCTAGAAAGAATTGCACATGTCACAGGACTAAGCAAACGAGTAACTCAAGTTTGGTTTCAAAATTCGAGAGCAAGACAGAAGAAACATTTGCATACTGGAAAAATGAAAGGACATGGTAAATTGAAGATTTTAATAAATTACATTAAGAAAATATTTTTAATTATTTTAAGAATAAGGCTTCTTATATTTCTTTGTGAATAATTATATAAGTAGCGTAACTACGTGAGTACTTACAGAATTTTTAACTAATAGAGTGAAGTGGGTCAAAACCATCAATTTTCACATCTCCCTAATAGCAACGAATATTCAAGGATATCCTAAGATGTCTTTAAGATATCTCAGGACAATCCTGGGATATTCTACGGATATAATTGGTTTCCGGAAAGAAGGACATCCGTAGGATATCCTCAATATTCAGATGCTGTTAGGGTTTGAACCGTGGATCCAAATTCGGACCTACACTGAAAAACTGTTGGTAGAACTGTTCGCTTAATACGCTGAAGTGCTGCATTAAAAAGAAACTCACAGCTCACTTTATTTTTGGGAAACTAACTCTCCTTTTTGATAGGGCTGCCAAACTGTAACGAACTATAACAACAGTTTTTCTTTTAGATTTAGAGTTACAATCGTTGTAAGTGTGTCTTGTAATTGGTGGTTTCGCTACAACCCACATTGGTACCTTACGCTGAAAATGTGACCCAAAGTCAAAAAAGTAATGAAATCTTTTTCTAAAATCTTACCCTATGATTATTTCGCTTTCCACTAATGTAATTTCGGTGTCTCTGATTTCATTTAGAAATAAATTGCAAAAACCTTCGCTAAGCTATAGAGAATATTGCATTTCATTTAGAATAATACCAACACAGTAGAAAATAAAACACTGGACTACTAAATAACAATTTTTTACCAATTAATATTTACTCGATATACCAAGAAATATGCGTTACACACCAATTATAACACTCGTAATAATATATTCTCTCACGATCTCTTTCCATTCTTGTAACTACACTGGAACCTTTGAAGATAAGACGGCTCAATTCTTGGACCGCTCTATGGAGATAGTCTTTGATGCCGAAATGTGTAAATGCGGCTTTTGATTCAATATGAATACGCATAACACACGTCGCAATAAGAACACTATAGACACTCTGCTGTGTCTTACTATTTTCTGGCCCTGCCCATCTCTTCCCCCTTACCCTTTTCTACCCCGAGCACACAACTTGTCCACTCTTCGCAAGACCGCTTTTGGGAGAATTCAGTGTACTGCTCATCTCCATTAGCTAATCTGTACAATTTTTGGAAAACGCCGGCTAGCTTCGTCATCCCACTGTTTGTCTCAAATCCAGCAATATTTTTCGCCTTCGTTCCTCGTCAATTTTTAAAACCGGAACGACCTAGGGATCGGAAATAATCGCTGACACTCTCAATCATTTGTAACTTCTTATGCGCTCTTCATTTATTCGACTGTCACCTCAGTGAAATAAAATTCATTTAGTCAGATGATATGGATAATATACGTACGTTTAGAATTGGCTCTAATGCGCAAAATTCTAGTAAGCCTTGTCCTGTTGGGATTGTATGTGTGACGGAGGAGAAGGCACAAGCAATCCTAAAAAAATTTGTAAATGCAAAGAGAGACCCAGCTCGCTTTAAGGAACTGGAGAATCTTTGGATGTCAAATCACAGAACGGTGACGAGATCACAGAGGGCGGAAATTCACAGAGTTAGGGAGGAACTAGAGACACGTTGATTAGACGGAGAATCAAATGCGTCAATGTTGTACCGCCGTGAAATCCCTACCATAATTACAATCCTTCCTTAGAAGCGTACATCTACTTTGCAATCCAAATAGATGCGTGTACACGGAAAAAAAAGTACGTGAATCCTTCCTTGACAGTGCTTGACTTTTGGATAGGACACAAAACGATGTTTCCTTTTTTTAACGGTTCTTGTCACCCTAACGCTACAAAAATGGTAACAAATACCGATTTACAAGTTCCATACTTCGTTCTCGTAAAAAACTAGCGATAATCCGTTTTAGGGTACTTCCACGGCGCCAGGTAAGTAAACTACCCGGATCACGATGACAATAATATAATAATAACTTTCCCTGGCTAGCTCTTAATCGAGCTCACTATTTTACTTTTACGGAATTTACCATGATTTAGAACAATAGGGTCGCGAGCACCGAACACAGAGGAGCTCACAGATTTTATTCAAAACACTGCATAAATGGAGACAGTGAGAACTTCCACACGCTAGAGATTAGCACTAACTAATTGACATCCTGCTTCGGTCCCGTATATGTAGGTCATGCACACCTTGGGTTCGCCCTTGTAGCATGATCACAGGCCCAACGTCTTTGACAGGTGGTTGCCAGTTGACAGTTGTGACAATAATTCGTAAGCAATCTCAATTGTTGTTGAACATTTTCGGTCGGTTCATAATTAAATAGAATTAATTAATTAAATTCATTATTTACATTATGTGAATTATTATCAACCAAGACGTGTGGAATTCTCTTGTTATATAAAATACATTTTTTACAACTCAACATTTTATATTATATCGACTCTATACAATTCAAAGATATAGTAAATTATTGGTGATAAGGGTTGTGACCGCAGCCTCTCGCAGCCACTAAGGCTTGGGTAATCTTTTTACCCTTACATCCGAAGTCCTTTCCACAACAGAAGGATTTCGGTCAGGCTCCTGGTAGCAATAACGGCCTCTTCAAAAGAGAAGTAGCCGTTATGTATTCACGCTTCTTTTCTAGAGCTGGACAGTCACACAAAATGTATGTCGAGGTTTAATCTTCCTCTCCACACTTACGGCATTTAGGATCCTCCACAATCCCCATCTTATGCCTATGATAGCGCAAATCACCATGGCCGGTAGCAGCCCTGTCATGATTCGGGACGCATGATTATTCCCCAAATGTCATTTTTCCGAAATGTCATTTTACCGAACTGCACTTTTGCGAATAGTCATTTTTGCGAAATGTCATTTTCACGAATAGTCATTTTTGCGAAAAGCCATTTTTGCGAATAGTATTTTTTGCGAAAAGTCATTTTTACGAATTTTCATTTTTGCGAATTGTCATTTTTGCGAATCGCCATTTTTACGAATTGTCACTTTTGCGAATCGACATTTTTACGAATCGACATTTTTACGAATTGTCACTTTTGCGAATCGACATTTTTACGAAATGTCATTTTTGAGAATAGCCATTTTTGCGAAAAGTAATTTTTACGAATTGTCGTTTTTGCGAATTGTCATTTTTGCGAAATTTCATTTTTGAGAAATGTCATTTATGCGAATTGTCACTTTTGCGAATCGCCATTTTTACGAATTGTCACTTTTCCGAAAAGTCATTTTTGTGACAATTCGCATAAATGACATTTCTCAAAAATGAAATTTCGCAAAAATGACAATTCGCAAAAATAGCTTTTCGCAAAAATGACAATTCGCAAAAACGACAATTCGTAAAAATTACTTTTCGCAAAAATGGCTATTCGCAAAAATGACATTTCGTAAAAATGTCGATTCGCAAAAGTGACAATTCGTAAAAATGGCGATTCGTAAAAATGTCGATTCGCAAAAGTGACAATTCGTAAAAATGGCGATTCGCAAAAATGACAATTCGCAAAAATGAAAATTCGTAAAAATGACTTTTCGCAAAAATTACTATTCGCAAAAATGGCTTTTCGCAAAAATGACTATTCGTAAAAATGACATTTTGCAAAAATGGCTTTTCGCAAAAATGACAATTCGCAAAAATGACAATTCGCAAAAATGACAATTCGCAAAAGTGCAGTTCGGTAAAATGACATTTGGGGAATAATCATGCGCCCCTCATGATTCTCGTCTCCTTTCTATTGAGTCAACGGAATTCCGCTTTTCTTTTGGGATTCAAGTTAGTTTCCATGAGTGTTTTGGCTTGTCTACAGCCCTTAGTCACCCACTATTCCTCTTGGTGCTCTGCCGTCAGCCACTGTTTGAATCCGAGGGCCAAGCATTTGTCAGAAACCCCAATAGGAAACTCAGGCCCAATAAATTGCGTTCCCTAGCACCCGCTTTCGCTAGTTCATCTGCTTTTTTTACCAATGAAACCACTGTGACCAGGGACCCAGAGAATGGTAACGCGGTTAATACCAGGTAGCTTGTTAAGTGCCTCATGACAATCACAGACCAGCTGTGATTATAATAAATTAATTAGATGTTAAGTCTGGCCACTACATAAAGAAATAATTTAATAAGTTTCGGCGAAATCTTAATTTGGATTTTCTAACTAAATTACTTAAAATCAACGTTACAACACGTATACCAACCAATGTAGGATATTAAAAATCTAGAAGTAGAAACTTTTTAACGACTTTTGGCCACGTTTTGGGAATTTGGAACCACTGTGTACTATCTGGAATTAAATTAAGAAGTGTAACGAAGCATTTCGTTACATAAATCTTGTGTGGTTCCTATTGTTGGGAATATCTAAATTTCATTTGGTCAAGGGATTTATTCTCTGTGGAAATTTCTATGAAAATGAATTGCGCATGCGAGGTTGCGAAAAGTCCCGAATCTCCGCGGTCCCTCTCGAGTTTTCTTTACAGGTTGTCGCTGTCCATTCGAGTGAGTGTGAGCGTCATATGTGGGCCCTTATCAAAATTAGAAAAGGACGGAAAATGAAGGAAGAAGCCGGTCAAAGTGACATTCATTCTTCAGTAGCTCGTGGGCCATTTAATTAGTAGGGCAGAGTTTTACTCGGGCTTTCCACATTTGGAAACCTCAGGGTTTTTAGAGTCGTTTTGTATCAAGTTTGATTATTAATAAATGGGCTAATTATTTATTAGTGAATTCCGAGTTTACGTGTTTTATTTTAATTGTTTGTGTCGTTGTTTGTAAGAGTCGCTGTTGGTAAATCATTGTGTCCAAGTTTCATCGTGTCTAGTTTCGCCGTCGTTTGTATCCGTTGGTTTTTAAGTCTGAAGCGAAATCTCCTCTCAGATATTTTAAGGTTTTTGTGTGTCATTAAACGGTCGATACAAGATAGTTGATTACTAATAAAAGATCTGTTATAGAAGTTAAAAAAAGCTTGTGGAGTATCTTTAAATTTCAGTAATAATGCGTCATCCATTAAGACGGACATCTTAAGACTTCAGATATTTGTTTAGACAGTCAGAATTAATATTCATGTCGAACAGCGAAATTATAAAACGCGGCTCTACGTGATAACAAGAGCGAATTACTGGTTTCGCTTCATCCTACTCTATTATTTATCTTGTTTGTTTTTTTACAGCCCACCAGTCGCCGCCAAATTCAATATCATCCCCTGCAGATTTTAGTCGACATATCAATCTACATTTGACATACTCCTTTCAACACCAGCAGCAACAACCAAATCAACAACAAGCTCAATTAAGTCCAACAACTTGCAAAAGTCCAACGCCTTCTTTATACCAAAATCATGGTAAGTACTTTTTTGGTTACATGGCCTACTGTTGCATAACAAGTAGAAATATTTTTTATTTCAAGGATTGTACCTATAATTATCCATAATTGTTCTACTAACTTGATAAGCTTCAATAGTAATATATTTAAAGTTTTGATAAGATTAAAAATGAAGAGGATAATCAAAATAGAAATCTCTAATTGCTCAAAAAAATTTGACATATTTTATGGGTCAAACTGACTAACTTTTCTGTTCAAGGTTTCAGAAAAACGAAAGAAAGTTTTTGATGAAAAAACTGAAAACGCACCAGTTTATATCTCCCCTCAACTGATAAAATAATTATAGATTCCTTTATTCTTTAAAATTGTCACTTCCGATTTTTGCGGAACAAGACGGAAATTATTTCTTCATCCAAATACCTGCAAGCTTTATAACTTAATTTAATTTTAGTTTAGATTTCTCATCGCCCTTATTCAGAATCTACGCTGTAACGTCGTCAGCATATCTAATCAGTATTAAGTTCGGTGAAACTTCAAGCTATAGAATAATTTCGTAGGATGCATTTCAAAGTGCGGGAAGTAGAACAGATTCCTGAGTGGAATTCACTCTTAACTTTTTTCTTTGTGATTCCTTAAGAGTATCATTCATTTATTCACTATCTTTTTCCTATAATCTTGGAACATGCTTAAAAATTATGTATGAATGTGGAATTCAAAATCATACAGACTATCAATCCAATCATATACCTGCTGATAATTACGTAAAGTTTTAAAAATATATTCAAACAAATCTTTGGTATTAATAATTAATACTCAAACAAATAATTTTTTGGCGTAGAGCCTTAATAACAAAATCTATTTCTTTCTTCTAGGAACAGACCACTCAATGGATGATATATCTCAAGACTCAATGATCTTATCCATGCCGAATGAAGTGTGAAAATAAAAATAATTCTAATTACCTAAAAAGTGAAAACTTTTTTTAAATGTGACAAAATAATTTTAAAAATTCGCATACTAGCATATGGAGAAAATTTTCATTAACTTACTGAAATGTGATAATATACATAATAGATCTGTTAGTTTAATTATTTTAAATTTACCTTTAATATTGATTTTTAATAATTAAAGGAATTAAGCATTTTAATCATTGAAAAAAACTTTTTCTCAGTGCAGTATAAATTATTATCTTCTAGTCTGGAAGTAAAATTGTTTTTATGAAACATTGTTGTTTACAATTTGGACAACACAATTAATTAATTTTTTGTTAATTTAATGGTTTGTAATATATATTGTTATTAAATTACTAGAATTGCTAAAATTTTTGGAATTCTATAATCACAAAACATTTTATTAATGTTAATATAATAAATGTGAATTTCGAAAAATCGAAATTATTTGGAGAAACGAAAACTTTAAAAGCTTTCTTGACATGTATAGGTAGTTTATATAAGATCTTTCGAAATGTAAATATTGTAAATGAAAATATACTTAAAGTACATTTTAAAATGTTAATTGTTATCGCTGTTTTTATTTCTTCGATTATAACTTAATGGTATGTATTAAACGACCAATAAAGTGAATACGTATACAATATAAGTCATAAAATTTTGAAAGTATTTTATAACATGCGTGTCGCCATACATACATTTATATTGTTTGTTATTTAATGTACAGTAATTAAAGAACGTATATGTAAAAAAATTAGTTCTGAACATTTTGTAACAAAAACAAAATTTACTACTTGGAATCAAAAAAACAAATTTTCTAAAAGTGTCTAAGAATAAATAAAATTTCACTGTTTTTCCTACACTATATACAATCTTAAATAAATTTTTATCCACGTAGTACGTTATAAATAAAAAGTAATTTTTAACCCTATTAATATTTACAAAGAATTACTAAATCTTTGCTTTCATAGATAAAAAACTATTTTAGAATCAAGCCCTATTATTTGCAGCATTACTGATGATTAGTAACTTGATTAAAAAAAGTAAGTGAAGAATAAAATTAATTAAAAAGCTAACAACAATTTTTATCTGAGAACTTTAATTTTAAACCACTAAAGTTAAGTATAGTTACATAATAACTTTTTTATTGAAGAAAACGAAGTTGGTACAAAAATCAAAGTGTACAGAAAGACTGCTCATATAGTTATCTGAAAAACAGACCCACTCAAAAGTACTGCAATTTATTTAATTATTTACACTGGTAGTTTGAATGGTTTGAATGAGACAGAAATCCCTGGTCCCGAATCGTGGAAACTGAAATTAATCAACAAAAACTCTAGAATTAATTAATAATAATCTCTCTCAAAAATATCTCAAAATGACACTCCTTAAATTGCGTTTCGACTTCTTGGAGCTCTGCAATTAAGTATCGAACCATTTGATTATCCCCAGTAGGCTTCCTCATCAATTCGTTTTCTTGTTTTTCTTTCGTAAACTTCGGGAGAACCCTTCTTCCTTATCCCCACAGAACTGTACATAAAGGAAACTAGGAAAGGGTCGCTGACCAAATGACACACGCTGACAATTAATCATGCGCAAAATCATTCAAATTCAGATTTCACAAAAATCACAACTTTAAAGACCAACGCACATTAGCTTTGCGAAAGCTGTTCATGAACGAGACGCATAAGGTAGGAAAGGACACAAATATATCTATGTCCTTTTCTTACTCATGATTTGCATTCGCGAACGACGTTCGCGAAGCAGTTGTACTTAGGCTTTCAAGACGGTAAACGAAAGAAAGGTACAAATATCTTGGATAAAATTAAAGATAGAGACTTAAATATTTCGGATTTGGAAAGATTATATAATTCCGCATTAGATAAGCTTTAAAACAATGTTTTTTAACGTTTCAAAGATGTAGTATTATTGGATAATTTATCTAGAACAAAATTCTCCAAATTTTCAATTATCCCTCAATATTTTCAGCTCCTTACCTGATCTGATAAAATGATAAAGTAAATTTGTAATTTATAATATTTTCTTCATATAATTGCCAGCATTTTCGAACCCACATCTAAAAATTTTTCAGACTTGCCCAAAATCTGGTTATTAAATAAAGCAATGAAATAAGATTTTACTTTATTAATGATGGCGTTCAATATAATTGGACATCGTCAAAAAATGATTGATAGACGTTAGTTATTAGGTTGTGGCCACATCTACTGTAGACACTAACGATTGGATAATCCTTTTGCGCCCCCAAATTTCAATTCCTATACTCGCAAACCTTTCCGTAACAGATGTTCTAGGTTCTTACAATCAGAAACTATTACGGTCTATGCTCCCTTCCTAGTTCAGGGCAGTTACAAATAAAACGCATTAAGGATTCGCTTTTCTCTCTGCACACTTACGATGACACTTACCAAAAAAGCACAAAAATTTTTCAACAAGTTTATTGCAAGTTTGCAGCTTTGTGGCAAACAGCAAAATGTCACTTGGGTTCGAGTTTTCAGTGCAAACTTACAGAAAATTTGCAAAATAAATTTGCGGAGAAGTTTGACAGCAAATTTGCATATTATTTGCAGTAAATTTTCCAAGAATGTTTCAGAAAATGTTTTAGTATAAAATATGTGTACATTAGTTGGAGCAAGCCTTTCCTCATGGAAAGATGACTAAAATTTATTTCGCAGCCCAAGTTACCTTATAAAACTACTGCGCCGGAAATTAAATTTTACTTTTCAAAGAAAATGTTCTGCAAGTTTGCATTGTCAACTTAATACTGAACATTGATCTATATACTAACTGGATGGCGAATAGGTTACCAAATTTATAACTAATTAGTAATTGAACACCAGTTTCTTTTTCACTGACCGTGGTTCGTAAGTGTTCGGAAACATTCGTTTCAGTGCTAAACGGCTGTACCGCTAAATTGAGAAGGGTACAAAATTCTATATTAATCAGTTTATTACTTGACTCGTGGTAATAGATGTATTCTACTATTTTATTTTTATCATGATGATTGCTGAACAAGTTTACGAAGTACATTAATCGCAAGCAATCTTGAACAGCTTTCCTGCTGACCGCCCAATGTGAATTGGAGGTACATATACTCTTTCACCTGAGGCGATGCTGTAAAGTTGTTTCTTCGTCTAAGGGTAAATCCTGGGTTAAGAATCATCTTCGCAGAGATTTAATTATTTCGGTATATTTCTTATTTGGCAAGAGGATCCAGGTAGCGCCCTGACTCTTCACCGAGACAGACCTCATAGAGCAAGCGAGATCGAGTCCCCTAGTTAAGTGCACGTATATAATCCTAGTCCAATAATGATAATCGGGAAGTAAATTTATGACTAGCTTCGGGAATAATTAAATCTAGTAACGCTCATCCCGCCCGCGGTAACATATCGTAACAACTTGATATTATAGAATGAGGCGAAACGATTATTAACGAATACTAGAGAAACGGCAAACTATTTAATTCACTAGCTTCACAATATTGTTTTATTGTTTAGATTTATTGATAATCGGGAAATTAAATTCCACGTACAGAATATAATTAGTGTTTAGCTCTTCCATAAACTGGTCGAAAGGATTTATGCTAACTCAAAGGTTAACTATTATGAATACGATTTCTGATATTGAATGTGGAATTGGAATATTGAAAGTGGAATCGGAAAAAGTTACGAAATGGACCTCCCGAAGAGTTAGCAGAAGCTTCTGAGGAGTAAATGCTCGATTTTACTTTTTAAGCATCGAGCCCTGACACAGAGAACTTCAGTCGCATAACCACCATACTTAGTCTCACCAAAAATTTCTCAGCATACGCTACCAAATTCGTCTTTCCTTTGGGGATTCCGATTGGGAGTCCAATAGAATTCCGATTGAAATTCCACTCTAATCGAAATTACGTTTAAGTTGGAATAATAGCGGAATCCCAAATGGAATTTCCTACCTCGAAAAAAATCTCTATGGCACTATTAACTATAAACCTATGGTTAATCTTAACCTTGTAAAATTAATAAGGATTCCTAATAATTTGAACTATGATCTCTGGGTTAATTCAATAAATGCAAGCTTTGTAAAAATAACCCTGCATTTTCTACTCAAATTAACTAGGATGTTTAATTATTGTGAAAATTTGCATTACTGCTTGTACGTCTGCTTCTATTTTAACAGTATTTTCCATAAACTCAGTATATCTCATAAACGATAAACGATCAGAATACGGTAAACCGATCTTCTTTTTATTCGGTGCGTAAAGTAGTCTCACAGAAGTTCGATGAAACCTATACACTTTAGAGTACTCGTAACCATTCTCTACTTACCAGACCTATTTACCCAGACCAATTCTGGAAATTTTTAAATCAAAATTCTTTTCTAGTTTATTTAATCAGGAGAAAAATTATAGTAAATTAATTGACCAGCCGCTAAAAAATATTCTATAACCAAGAAATTCAAAATGTTAACTGAAGCAATAACAATTTAATATGATTAAATAAATGTATGCTTAGCTTTAAATATTTAATTACAATAACATCTTTTGCTTTTTATAAAATTATATTCATAAATATCAACAAAATTATTGGGGTTTTAGAAGGAAAATTAAAGGAAATTATTTTAATTATATAACTTTTATATTTGCTATGTACAATTTTTCAAAATTTAGAAAATAAATAATGGATGACAATGCTAATGAAGAGGTGCAGTTTGGAAAAATTATTACTACAAATTATATTGCATGATGAACAATGGATAAATATTAATATATGTATACGGACACAGTTTTTATAGTGATGCATGTCTAACAAATAAATATAATTTGTCTTTTCGTCTCCTTTTATAAAAGAGGTGAGAGAAAGCGATAAAATTCAATTACTTTAATTTTTATTTTGACTATATGCTCGACTTTGTCGAGAATTTACCGATCGAAAATCGTTTGACATGCAACACTAGATTTTAAAATCGTAGAACGTAGGAATATTTTTCAAACTTATATGATGAAGTAAGCTTTCTAATATTTACAAATTTTATTTACAATAATTCAAGAGGATGGATAGTAATTAATATCCAACTGTAAAATACAGATTTTATGCAATCATGAAAGGAAGTCTACAAGATTAGCCGCTCTGATAGTCATATTCAATTTGAAGATATCCGGGTGTTGATGGTGTTACTGGTGTCGAGAGGTTCATAAAAGACTTTGGACTTCCATGATTCTGATCAACATTAATTGCATTTTGATAAATATCACTTGTATGGTGCTGTAATGGTGAAGAATGATAGACTGTAAAAATATAGTTTATTTAAATAAGAAGTACATCAAAATTAATTAACCACTAATTAAACTTTCAATGATTTAAGAAATGCAAACTCACTTGGAGATTTTATTTTTCCATTGTGCTTTTTTTGCCTTGCTCTTGAATTTTGAAACCATACTTGTGTCACTCTCTTTGTTAAACCAGTGACGTTCGCTATCCTTTCGAGGTCCTGTCCGTCGGGGTTGCTATCTAATTGAAAGTTGGCTTGAAGAATGGCTAATTGTTCCTCTGTAAAAGTAGTTCTAACTCTTTTTGATTTACTGTATTTCCCGCCATGCTCAGAGTCACAATCTTCTGAAGAACTACTGTTGTTGCCCTCAATTACATCCAAATAATGTGTTTTGCAAAGTAATCGTGCGTCTAGTAAGGCGAAATGCTCTCCAGTTGATAATTGTCGTGAACAAGCATCACAGGCAAAGCAAGCTAAATGGTAAACTCTGTCTCTTGCTCTTCTCACCCAATCGCCAGCTCCCATATTTCTACCGCATTTTGCACATTTGGTTCCGAAATTTCTGTTAAAAATAAGAAGCAAAATTTATTTAACAATTTGTTTATTTCTTAAGTTGTATTTAAATAATAGTAAAAGAATTATGCATGAGTATCAATTGCGAGTATCCAATTTACTAACAGGGTTAAAATTAAAACAGTTTTAGAATAGTTTTGTTTTTAGAACAAAAATTATTAATAAATTATTCATTACAACAATTAATATAAATTCATTTAGTTCTTAAGAAAAGATGTGTGAAAGTGTGCTCAAAGTGAATATAAAGAACTGACTGGCTAAATTAGAAAGCACTTTTTAAATTTGATAAAGAAACAAATGGGTAGGAAACTTTAGATAGCAGAAGAAAGAAAGTATGTTAGATTTCATAATCCTCCCCGGATTCGTTATATATGATCGATTATCTGAATCCATTTGAAAAACGGTTCTAAACCCTCTAAGTGGTTTCAATTAAAGGTTGATAGCGGTTTCCCTAACAGCAACGGATATCCTACTGACATCCTAATCACATCCGGAAATTTAGATATTTCTAAGATGTATTTAAGATATCTCGTCAGGTCATCCTAAGGATATAATAGCTTCCGGATATCCTTAGGATATCTTGAATGTCTGGGTGCTGTTAGGTTTGCTTTTGACAGACAAGTTAGTCTTGTAGTTGGTATCTCTTTTGATTTGAGTAACCTTAGGATTAATAATCGGACTTGATGCTAAGTTTAATTTATTAAATTAAATTAATTAGGTAGAGATCCGCTTTTTGTATTTTAAGAGAGTGACATTAGATTCGTAATCAGCCGCCTGGAAAACTTTATAAATACAAAGGATGATGAAATTTACGTTACTTTAAAAAAGTCGGGCGTTAAATGGTTAAAAACGGACTTGTTTATCAGAATGGATACGAATACTGTAACGAAGTGTTTCGTTACTTACTTTTCCTAATTTGCCATGTGTAGGAAAAGCATTTTCAGCATATAGAGAGTCGTTTGTTTGTCTCTTTCTTATCATAGGTCTGTCTTGTTTGTTGTCAAGTCTCTTGTATCTTTCTTTCGTATCAGCGTGTGAGGAGCTGTGGTTTTCGTGAAATCAGAATTTAAATGATTTTGCGCATGATTAATTGTCAGCGTACGTCACATAGTCAGCGACCCTTTCCTAGTCTCTTTCAGGTGCCGTTCCGTGGGGATAAGAAAACAGGATTCTTCGGAAAATTGTGAAGGAAAAACACGGAAATGATTTGATAATGGATAGCCAACTGGGGACAATCAGATAGTTCGACACTTACTACTGAGTTTCCGAGGAGTCGTAACGCGGTTTTGACGAGTGTCATAATCGAGAGTTATTTGAGCGTTTAATTAATAATTTATAGTTTGTTAATTAATTGAGTTTTATTAATAAACAGTTGTTTTTGTTAATTGCCTGTTTTACTGTATTTTGCGTTCATTGAGGGTCGGAGGAGAGTACCAGATAGTAGAGAAATATATTGGTAGCGTCTCAGCGGTCAAGTTCGAAAAGTTTGTTTGGTTGTTCGTTGTCCAGAGGACCGTTTTGCATCACAGCATCGGCTTGGCAGAATTTCCCGATGAGATTGTTTACTGGCCTTGGTGGTATATGTATACTGGAGAAAACCAGCTTACCTTTGAAGGTCTCGCTGTTGTACCGAGTTTTAATATTCCACCGAGCTCATTTACAGTGATTTACAATCTATCGGAGGCTAGAAATTATGGTTAATGTGAAACTGGATGTTTCAGAAGTTGTTTGTAATGAAGTGTTTCGTTACTTACTCTGCCTAATCTGTCATATATGGGAAAAGCATATTCACAGTATAGCGAGTCGTTCATCAGTCTCTTTCTTATCATAGGCTTGCCTCGTATCTTGTCAAGTCTTTTGTAACTAGCTATGACTTTCGTGAGATCTGAATTTTAACGATTTTCCGCATGATTAATTGTCAGCGTACGTCACTTAGTCAGCGACCCTATTCTAGTCTCTTTCAATTACCGTTCCGTGGGGATAAGAAAGAAGGGTTCTTCCGAAATTTACGAAAGAAAAACAAGGAAACGAAGTGATAATGAGGAAGCCTACTGGGGACAATCGGATTGTTCGACTCTTACATGCGGAGCTCCAAGAAGTCGTGACGCGATTTGACTAGTGTCATATTCGAGATATTTTGAAAGAGTTTTATTAATTAATTTTTAGTTTTTGTTAATTCTTTCGAGTTTAAGATTTATTAATAAATTGTTGTTTTTATTAATTTTGGGTTTTAATGAGTTTTTGATTATTGAGGACCAGATGAGAGTATCAGCGAGATTAGTGTAATATCTGCAATCGTGGAATTTTAATATCTATCCAAGTGGAAAATTTACCGGAGTCTGCTGGGAGTAATTCTGGAAAATTTTAAATATTTTCGTAGAAAATGACATTCTGGATTCCACATTTCATATTGCTCATTTTATATTCAACCTTTCATATTAAACATTCTGGATTCCACATTTACAATTGCACATTTCATATTCCACATTTTATATTCAACCTTTCATATTAAACATTCTGGATTCCACATTTCAAATTCCCCATTATGGATTCCACATTCCTTATTCAACGTTCTATGTTTCACATTCCCAATTCTACATTTTCGATTACACATTCAAAATTCCCAATTCCACATTTCGTATTTCATATTCCTTATTCCACATTCTATTTTGCACTTTTCACATTCCACATCCTGTATTACAAATTGCATATTTGTTTATTTTGAGCGTTTCGATTGACACATTTCGTATTAATTAAGGAATTGATAATTACAGTTGTTCCTAATGATAACGCAATGGGACCCAAATTAGGATAAGTGATTTAGCATCAGAAAAATGGGTTTAAATAATTGATGAATTTATCGATCGTTTATTTATTAAATAATTTAAAAAAGAAAATTCCAATATCTTTAATTATAAGTTGGCTCCGTAAACTTCTTAATTTCAATTCGTTTATGTGAAATTTATAATGTAGGATCTAGAAGGTGCAATGTGGAATATGAAATGTGGAGTCCGGAATATAAAATTTGAAATGTAGAATATGGAATCTGGAATATGGGATATGAAATGGGAAATATGAAATGTGGAATCCGGAATGTGAAATTTGAAATGTAGAATATGGAATCCAGAATGTGGAACATAAAAATGTGAAATCCGGAATAAGGGTTATGAAATGTGGTATGTGAACTGTAGAAACGGGAATGTGGAATTTAAAAAGTGGAGTATGAAATGTGGAATCCGGAATGTGTAATGTGGAATATGAAATGTGAAATTTGAAATGTAGAATATGGAATCCAGAATGTGGAACATAAAAATGTGGAATCCGGAATATGGGTTATGAAATATGGAATATGAAATGTAGAATCTAGACTGTGGAATATGAAATGTGTAATCTAAAAGGTGGAATCCGGAATGTGAAATACGAAATGTAGAATATGAAATCCGGAATATGGGATATGAAATGTAAAATTTGGAATTTTAAATGTAGAATATGAAATGTGGAATCAAGAATATGGGATATGAAATGTAGAATATGAAATGTGAAATATGAAATGTAGAATCTGGAATTTAAAATGTAGGGTATAAAATGTAGAATCCGGTATGTGTAATGTGCAATATGAAATATGGAATCCGGAATGTGAAATTTGAAATAAAGAATATCGAATCCGGAATGTGGAATATGAAATATGGAATCCGAAACGACTCCGTGAGACTCCGAGAACTTTTCCACGTGGGTAAATAAATCGTGGAAATAAATTATATGATCTAGAAATGAGAATACTTCTGTACCGTGATAATAGCAAGAGTCATCTAATTTTCAATGTAATGAAAGAAAATCCCATTAAATGCAGAATTAATAACTAAATATAATTTTGGTTTAACTCGACTCTTATAAACTTTTCACTATATCTTAAATGGGAAGGACGGATAGTTCTGTCCTCTGAGTGACAAATTAATAATTTTATTTTCATATTCGGATATTACCCAGGAGGTCAATTACTATGGATTCCAAATTATAGATTCCGAATTCCATATTCCTTATTTTGAATTTTGAATTTCACATTCAGGATTTCGAATCACATATTTCGAATTACTCACACCGAATTCCATGTAACTTATTATTAATTTAATATTCAAGATACTGAATCTCACTATCTAAATTACAAATTCCATGTTTCGAATTTCACATTCGAATTCGAATCCCACATTCGAGATTCTTATTTTCGAATTTCATATTCAGGATTAGCATTTTCAATTCCAGAATGTGACATGTAGAATTCAAAATACGAAATATAAACTGACGTCGTATTTGGATCAGAATCCGAAATCATTAATGTGGGATTTAAAAAATGAAATGTCAGATTCAAAATCCGGAAAGTGGGATTCGCAATAAGTCACAAATTCAACCCCCAGGATCACGTAAATTACAATCCATCTTAAAAGTTCTTCACTAAATATAAAAAATAATTTGATTTTTCGAAACTCCTCTCAAATAAGTCTTAATTTATGATTTACCATTTATATCTTATTAGAGTATTACAGTTTATTAAAATGGATAGTTTTTAAAAAAAATATACCACTATTATCCTTTTTGATGTAAGTTATTGAATTCGATCATTTTTCTTGCTCAAAAGAAAGATATTTACGCCTGCGAATTTTGATAAATCGAAATGTTTTGCTTACGAATGACTGTTAAAATATTTTCTTTTCATTTAAGATTGAAAAGATTTCTTTCTGATATATGACAAGAGAAGTCTGAGGACCTCACACGTAATCGATGATTCTTACTCAGGTGTAACGGGAGTGTTGATGTGTTTTATGTGAGCGTGAGTTAACATATGTATGTGGGTGCTAAGTCACAAGTCAGAACTGTCTAGCGTCAGTGCAATCACCTCAAAGAAGTAAGGAATTCGCTTTGTAAGCCTTCGACTAGCTAAAAATTCCCTTGTATAAATTTCTGGTCAAACTTTAATTTAAAGAAGACAATTTT